CTAGAACAGCTGTGTTACGGTTTTAAAACGTAGCACTTCTCAGGTGTTAAACGACACACACACACGAGTGTTGAAGTGCCTTACAGTGTCGAAGATGTTACACCACCCTGACTTAAACTGCCAAACTTGCACTACCAGACTACTCAGCATAACACTTATATTTGGCCCACCAGATGGTATGTGTGAGTTGCGTGGAGTTGGCCTTCGAGAAAACGAGGGCTTATTTGAAACATCGCTGGTCTACGAGCCGCTAGTCTTGCGAGATGTATCGAGAGGCAAGCCAACATTTTCAAGTAAACCCTATTCAAGTAAATTGTAAGTAAGATACAGGATTAAGTTGAATGAATTGAGTACGGAAAGGGATCGATGGATGGATAGAAGGTCGTGTGCATTATTTTTCTTTTGCTTTTTGCATACAGTGAACTCTAAAACCTGCATACTGAATAGCATGGCGTGTAAGTGGAAAGAAAACTCTATCTTTGAAATAGCTTGCACTTTGACTTTTCAGCCATTCATCCACTGCTGTTGATGACGACGACAAGACATTTTTTAGTAGCACCGATGACTTACCTCAACCCTTTTGGGCAATAGATCTTAAAGGCCAGTACGAGATTCACACGGTGGATATCTTACCGATATATCACGCGACGGGGAGGTTCAACGACATCGGGGTTGGTGCTTGTGGATGGTATTTGCTTATGTTTGCTAAAATCTGTTTTACATATTTGTGTAGTTTTATTTCATCTCTATCACTTTATTCTACGAATGAATTCAAAACAACTCCTCAAACCAGGTCTTCATTGGTACAACTCTCCCGGCTGACGACGTCTACACCGCATGGACTATGCTGGCACACTACCAAGGACCTTACAAAAAAGAGGAAGGCCGCATTAGTTTCACCTGCAGGAGTCTGATCTCAGGCCGTTATGTGGCTGTTCAGAGAGTGTCCATAACGGGTCAGAAGTTGGAGCTCGCCGATGTCAAGGTGTATGTCACACCAAAACATTGAACAAAAATTGAGAGAACTTGGAAAAGAACTTGGAAAAAGAGCATGGAACGACTATGAGCAATGGGGTGTGTGTTTGATTTGCTCTGTAGCTGCGTGTAACATTGTGTACTCTTAGCTACTAATATTAATGTTTTTATAATAGTCTACTGATAGTGTTTGTGTGTCAAGCATATGTATGTAGATACGCATACACACATACACATGCATGCGCACACATATACACATACACACACACACACACATACACACACACACACACACACACACACATGTATATATATATGAAAGGAAAACAGCCACAGTAAGAAATGTAATTTCATTTCGTATTGTGGCTACTTTTCTTTTATCTTTGTGTACACGTTACTGTGTTTGTGTTTGTGTCATATATATATATATGTGTGTGTGTGTGTGTGTGTGTGTTTGTGTGTATACACATTCTACACACACACACACACACACACACACACATGGAATGTATATATACACACACACACATAAATATATGTATACGTTAATGGTAGCCTATGGGTTTAACCACACAGGTATTATTGGTCCTTAAACATCCTAAGAAGATTCTATAAGATGTCTGCTGACGCCAGCATGATGTTAAGCCAAAAAACAAAGATTCATTGCATTTTCACTCAATAAAGTCTTTTCAATTAGTCTAGCCAATGCATTAGCAGAGTTACCAGTGACCGTCCTTCTTGAGATTGTACGAGATATGAGAAATGTGTTAAGTGAAGTTCAAAGGTTTAAGATGGAAGCATCGAACCAAAAAGGCAGTGACCGAGTGAGGATTATGGATGAATAAATTTATTTACTCATTATTTCGGAATATTATTGCTTAAGGAAGGTAAACGTCGTTTGAATCTGCAATCGTGTTGTTGATCATGACATTAAAAAGGCAAGACAAGTAAGACAAGATCAAAATTTGTTTAATGAAATACGTGAGTAAATATTAGAAAGAAATGTCTGATAATATGTTATCGAAAACATGGTTGGATTTTTTCAGAGAGCAGATATGTTTTTAGCTTGCAAAATTATGTGTTTAGATTTTCATGTTTTTTTTTATGAGTAGTTTTTAAACTGCCCTAATGGCTGATAATAAATAAGATAAGACATTTTGAAAATCTGTCCTCCAACATTGTTTTTTTGATACTCGTATTCTTTCTCTTCTGTAAAATCGTCGTTCATTAACCCATTCACGTATCCGTGCCATGCCCACTGTGAGTTTACTTGTTTAATTGCTTTTACACATAGATGGCTACACTTGTACTAAATCACCAATGAGCCAGATACGATTACTGCCTGTCTCGCCCGTTTATCCGTTTCTTTAATTTACGAAAATATTTTACGTTATCTTATTTTGCTATTACTAATGTTTATAGCTTTGTAGGAATTATAATGTTTATAATAAAAATAACACCATCGATAGTCAAGTAAAAAAAAAAAACACATATTTCCGCCAATTCAAGGAAAGGTGAAATCAGG